CTTCTGCCAACAACACTGCATGTGTTCATTTCACTGCCTATCTTTTTGCCTCCTCCACAGACTCTCACCATCCTCTTCTACCTCTTTTTTTTTCTTTTCTACTCCCTCTCTCTGTCTAGCACTCAGACATATATACTTTTGAGTGCTCCACAGCGGGAAAGAAAGCCAGAGTGATGGAAACAGAAAAAGATTACTTTTCCATTTTGCAACGTGCACTGTGCCTGCATTTCATTTTGTCCACTGAGTAGGCGAGTCAGAGGGCACGGCTGGAGACTCTGATGGTGTGTCATGACTCAGTGTGATCAGGAGGAAAGGCTGCAGCTCTGTTTACGTTACAACACAACCACAGTGTCTGTTCAATACGACCTGAATGCTGAGATCACCCGGAGATGCACGTGAAAGCAGTATTTCTGTGTGTGTGTGTGTGTGCGTGTCCTCCTTTCTCTTTAATCAGAGAGTGAGTGGAGCAGAACAGAGCGGAGGGTTGAATTGGGGGCCTTTCTGTCGGTCTCTCTGACTTTAGGCTGGCATTGTTGCCGTCTAAATACTGCCTATAACCAGCTCCTGATGTTTCTCTGTCTCTGCACAGAGGATGGATTACCACGAGTATCTCTTCATCTCACTGTAATCTTCTCCTCTCACATTTCCACCGAAGGACCACCTGAATTCAGACATATGGAGCTGGATTAAAACCACACACTGCTGTGAGTTCTGGGTATAGAGTGACTGTCTGCCATGCTCCGCAACACACACACATCTTATGAGGAGGGGAAAGTGAGAGTTCCTGTATGAATGCAATGATTCACTCAGCCTCTCTTATTTTTTTACTTTCCTTTCCTCCTTACTCTCTTCTTTCGACATTTATTCTTTCTTTCACTTCTGTTTTTTTTTTTTACACTGATTCATTTGCTTGAAACGTTTTTTCTCTGTCTTCCATCAATTCTTTATTTCTTTTTTTCCCCCAGTTCTCAGCTCTTGCCTTGTCGTTGCCGTGTCTTTGTCTTTCATTACAGCATTAATGATTTCCGGTCATGTATTCACTCATTCATATTCCCACCGATATAGGATCAGTACTTATTTAAAAGCGGAGGGCACATTCGTGATGCATATGAAAGGGTTTAATTATTAAACCACTCTTACCACTAAATTTCAGTAGGCCCCACACTTTGAAGAATATCTTTAGATGTTCCAGATCATAATATTTGATTATGATCATCATCTTCCTTCCCATCTTTTCACACTAAAGGGAAAGATTTTCTCCGTCTGAATTCTTTTTTGTATGTGCTGTTAAATGCTAAGTCTTGATTTTTGGTGAAAAGTCCAAGTTCTATTTTGGGCTGAGTGGGAATACTATTGTGCATTCATCTTGCAGTCATGCATACAAAATCTGTTTGCTGCATGTCCACTTCACATATTATTCAGACAATTTTAGGTTGAAAGCAAAAAAACAAAACAAACATGCTTTGTAATTGTTGTGTCAGCTCTACTTTGAGACCTGAAGTACAAGCTTTGTGTGGGTATGTGCTGACCTCTGCTGGTCACATGTGGGACTACTCTTTAAAGGGAAAAGAGACAGGTGAGATTCATCCTACAAAATGGATCTGGGACAACTTCATTGAGTCTCACGCTTTGTAAGTTCCAAACTGTCTCACACGTATTTAACAATACCTACAGGCTACACTATTGTGTGTAATGTCATAGCAATTTTCTTTTTGGCTTTGAGGAGACAGACAGTAGGGTATGATTTAGACGACACATGTACTGCATGTTGGATGTATTACGAGCAGTGATGTACTGAGCTCAGTCTGCTATCATTGCAAAGTGATATAACACTGAGGCTGCAGCTGAAGTCTCTTGTGTCATGTTTTAAAACAATTAGAAAAGATTTACAGTCGTACTGAATGAATGAATGGTTGCCTGGACTTTGTTCATCCAAAATCTAATTAGACCTGGCCCCTGGCTGATTCTGACTCTGCACTACTGACTTTCGATTACTCCTGTATGGAGTTTTGAATTTACGGTTAGCTTTGATGTGATTTTGTTCATGAGTGTTGTATTTTATCTGATGTTCTGATCTGATGATTAAATCTGTATTTGTTTTCCCTGCAATGCTGTGTTTCGGAGGGTATCAGTGTTCCAGGGTCCTATGTTCCCAGGGTCTGAATACATCTTAAAAACATATTTTTCAGGTTCCCATTATGTGTTATATGGAACCGAAGACCATAGGACTCTCTGTCATGTCCACATTACATGTTATATAAATCCTGGGAACAAAAGCATGACTCCCGTTGACTGTGAGGACTCAGAGGAAGGTTGAAACCAAAGCTGATATTTCTGTGTATTTTCAAATAGGATTATTTGAGATTTTGTTTGTTTACCAGACGTTCTTGGCTCGAAGGAACAATCACGTCCAATTTAAATGGCAATCAAATTTGTGGCTAGAACCTCAGGGAGGTCTTCGCGGCACAGTGAGAAGTTTTGATCAAATATTTCTCACTAATCCCTGCTTGATTACACAAGTTACTAAATAAAGCTTTCCACCTTTCTGCTGTAAAATGTTTGCATCTGTGTGTTGCCTGCCCCCAATCTCAGCAAGAATGCTTGTATTAGAGAAAGCCCATGAGGAAAGTGAAGTTTGGTTTAATTTGTTTTTTCAAGCAAGGGCAGTCATGGTCATAACCCCTCCTTCTCCCTTCCAGTAAGGGTATGAAACGTATCCCACATAAGCCCACACTGAGTTCACTGCAACATGGCATCGCACACTGGACACTCGGGCGAGGAAACCTGCCCACAAGTGTACGTTCAGTTTTATCTAACTGACTGATCAGCAATTTTTGCAAGTAAAATATTGTTCCTTTAACTGTGTAAAAATACTTATAACAGTGCAATGAAATAATTGTGAAAAATACTGTGAAAAAAACAAAATTATATATAATGTGCAAATGTCCAGGCTTTTTCATAGCACTGTTAAAGTGGAATCTTAGTGGATTCATGCAGTACCACATGCAGGCCGAAGGTTGGTGCTATAAGCTTGTTTACCTAATTCCTCTTACTTACTTCGCACTATAGGCAATGTTACATACAATATATTAGCTTCAGTACATTTACTTCACATTACTTAGATCATTGTTATCCCAAATCACTGACTGATGTCATGTCCAAAATGATGAACCTCATGTATTAAAGCAATACGTTTTGAATAAGTGACTGCTGAGGCCTTCTGATTTGCCATATTAGTGAGCAATAATAACAAGTTTAACAGATGAAAACACAACCTTTGTAAATTATTTATGTATCCGCTAATCATGCTGCTTTCAGTCTATTAATGAAAAGGCTGAAAAATGTTCCCCACATGATAAACTATTAGAATCATACAATCGCATCCAACTTGCACATTATTACTAAACTACAGGAAATGTTAAAATAAAACAACAGCACATTTAAACCCAATTTCTGTTCAATAAAACAAGCACAAATGTATAACCAAAACTCGCGTTACATCAAATCACATGGGAAAACACTGGTATAGCCACAATGAAAGCCTCTTACAGCATATACCTATAGAGGGTTTGTAACCAGTCAACACATTCCTGTAGTGAGTAAACAAGCAGTAGTTGCAGTTCGTGGGGGGCAATGTTATCTGCAGCTGTTGTGTACAGGCAGCTTCAGGGGCCCAGGAATGTTGTAAAGCAGGACAGCAGTCAGATACACTCATCACAGAGCTTTACACTGTGGGTGTTGGTTACAGTTTGGGGGATCCACGGGACAGAAACAGTGAGAAATATCAATAGGCCTCAAAGGAATTCATGTTATAACACCTATAAGTAAGGAAGTGTTTTAGTGACAATTGTTCAGGTTAGGGTTAGTTATTTAGATACTGTATATGGCACAGTAAAGTCAAGACAGTTATTATGTGCATAAACAAATAAAATCAGTTTGTTGATTGTACTATGAACACAATAAAGTTTTATTTTGTAGCCACCTGGCCTGTCTGTTAAATTGTGCGGTTAGTGATAGATGATGATGATGTTAGTAGATATAAAGATGATTCGCTGTTACCATTACATCATATGGATTCATACAAGTATATGCATGGTAGGCTACGCAGGGGAAGAGGAAAAACCTAATTTTATCACTAGTATTGGGTCTCGTTGCGTGTGAATTTAAAGTGTCAGTTTTCTTGCCTTGTTTGAACAGTAATGAGCTAAACCTTCGCTCCCCACGCGCATCAATGAGCCCTTGGGACCTTCCTTGGACCAGTACTAAGAACACCCCACAGGACATGCCGTCTCAGGCAGATGCATCTGGCTGGTCAAGCACAGTTTGGTTCTTGTTAAAGTCGCTGCGTCCAACACGTGAACTTCAAGAACTGACTGTTCACCTGATACCTGGTGGTGCCATAGTAACGAGATAATCAATGTTGTTCACCTCACCTGTCATCAGTGTGGCTGATCGGTGTAATTGTGTTAAGAAATGCGTCCTCTGGTGCACTGGAGGACTAGTGCGCGTGGTGCTACCTTCAGGCGCTGTCAGAAATGGTTAATGTTTTAGTAAAGTGTCAAAAACGACCAAAAAAAAGACCAATAGATAAATAAATTATGGATAGGGCTGGAGAAATGTGAATTTTGGTTATTATTGATTAATAGACCTGCCTTGGAAAATATAAGGAATTTTAAATTTTGCGCTCCATATTCATCAAAAGGTGTTCAATGAAACGTACCTGATTTGTGATGATTTCCTGAATGTATTCTTCTTAAATACTGAGATACATTACTTGTAGTTATCTAATCTAATGTGTGTGTGACTAAGAGATGTCTGTTCCTTCTCGTGCATTGTGTCTTTAATAAGCGTATTAGTCAACTCTTAGGACAATTAGGCTACTACGAGGTCCAAAAGTAGGGTGTTGGGGATTACGGGCAACACGTGAAGGCATCATAAGATCCCATTTTTTTAGGAGGGCTGATGTCATTTCAAAACTTAACTCACTCTCCTAAGTCAACGCGGCGAGCTGCTCACCTCTTATTCTCCAGTAAAGTCCTCCCTCTCGTCTGGACGAGCACGTTGATAAACTCCAGGAGGTGAATTAAACTAAAGAAGAACACAAACTTGTCTACTAGAAGCGGAGCAAAAGGATTTTACGGCAGAAACCCCGGGACCAGAGCCCCTCTTTCTGTGGGCAAAGGCGGCTGATTTTTTTTTTTTTTTAAACTGCAACCGCAAAAATGAATCGGAGCTTTAATAAGTCGCAACCTCTGCGAAATGTGGATTGTAACGCCGTGGAAGTGAAAAGCAAGGTGAGTGTCGAGGGGTGGAAACAGTTGACTATCGGATCTAAATGTGGATTTGGGGAGAAAATAAAAAGAGTTCACATGGTCATCCCGTAACGGAGCTTGGAGTTGGTCGGACAAACTGTCTGCAACTAACGACACATATTTTACCCTCTTGAGCGACAAAGCACGTATCCAGTTGTTGAAACGGGATGTGAACGCAGCAGTTTGTGGATGTTTGTGTAATTTGCAGTGATTATTTTCTTCTTACTTCCGACAGAATGCAGATTGTGCTGATTTGGCTCTTTCCCTCTCTGTCACGAAGCTGCTGGGGGAAAAACGGGTTTGACATTGTTTTAGATAAACCTAGCTTTGACCATTTGTTACAATAACAAGATTTTATCTGTTAAATATGGTGTGTTTGTAACAATAGTCGCATTCACTGCGGGTTTTGCGCTACATAGTTTCAGCCTACATGTTGTTTAGGGTAGTTTGTGAGAGACTGACAGTGTAACAGCTGCATAAACCAAGTTAAACAGCAAGTAAATCACTACAGTGTCAGGCTTATGTAATGGAGACCACCAGTTTTATATAAAATTTGAACAGACAGCACTTGGATCTTGTCAAATTTCATTAGATATAGTAGAATCACATTCGAGTCCCGGATGTTTAGCTGAGCTGAATGTCTGTCTTAAATCTGAGAAAAGTTGTTTGTAATAGTTTGGTGTATGATGGTCAACTTACCTAAGTATTAACAAGGGTAATGTGGGTATGGTGAAAATCATAACAGATAAACACATGACACTGTGTCCAATCCTCATCACAATAACAGTGATATAATGATTTTGCCAAAGCCTCTAAAGGGTTTCTTGTAAGCAACATTTTTCACTAGATTCCATTAACGTGATGACAACCTGTAGTGGTATTTGTAGACATGCATTTACACATGAATGTGTCTGCACATATGTAAAAATTATGAGCTCCCTGAGTCACAGATGACATGCCAGATTGAGATGGGCAAGTGTTGCAATAGTCACTTTTAGTTTTGGCTGCTCAGTTTCAGTGTGGTGGTGGTGGGTCAGTGACCTGGGAATGCTTGTGAGAGGGATAACGGACACACTGATGGTTGGTGATGGTAGGTGGTAGGGCATCGTATCCCAGGATGCTCATACAAATGATCTTTAATACATCACTCTTTGATACGTCATTTAAGATGACACATTGATGATCAGTCATCAGTGTTTTTGTTCTGAGGCAGGGTCACTTACATGTTTGCTCCACAGAGACAGGAGTGGTCACCTTGTAGCTACAGGAGGTTGTTTGTGGGTGGGACTGACGAGGCCTGGAGCTGCTCGGTGAGAACGGACAGGTTTAACAGCCTCTTTGCATCCATCATTGCAGAGCTGACTCACTGTCCTATAACGTCACACGTTTCCCTTTTTGGATCATGAATAGCTCATCACTCTTAGTAAGTCATTTGCTGTTTCCTCTGGTTTTGTTGTGACCAGCTTGTCGTGGCGTTTTGAAGAGAAGGACTTGCTAATGGAAAACTAGAAGACAATTTCAGATCCCACTTTGAACTCTAACAGTTCCTCTTACTTCTTGAGCTGCACTTTTTTCAGATGATTAGCTGATGACTGCTTGAGACTGCAACTCCAATCCAGTTATAAAAACAAACTAATTAACGCCAGCTTCACATAAGTTGTTTGACAGAAAAGTAAAAAGCAATTATTTCATAATCAATTTATCGTTTGAGTCATTCTCTGGTTGCGGCTTCTTGAGTGTAAATATATGCTATTTTCTACTCATGTATGATTCTAAGCTGAATATCTTTGGGTTTTGAGCTGTTGTTTGGATAAAACAAGATATTTTAAGACGTCACCTTGAGCTCTAGGAACTCGTGATGGATATTTTTTTTACTATTCTCTTTCTATAGATCAAATGATTAATCGATTGATCAAGAGTAATGTTAAATGAGAGGGAAAATAACCATTTGAAGAAAACTGAAAAGAAAAAGAGCTGAACAGTAGTTATGGGAGAAATTCAGAGCTGTTGTCAGCACGTTTGAGTCTGGTGCATGTCATGCGACTGGTTCTCGTTGGTCTACGTCTGCTTTTCTCAGGGGAAACTGTTCCAATGATAAGCTTATCAGGGATAACACTGGAGGTGTCTGGCTGCCTGTCCCGGAGCCTCAGCCATGGAGCTGGTTTCACTCACTTAAAGCTCTTATCAGAGACAGAGAGAGTGCATAGGGGTGTTGGGGGATGGGTGGGATTTACATTGATTTGGACCAGTACTAAGAGCACCCCAGATTTTCAAATACTTTTTATTTTTGAAAAAATGCATCAGCAAATCTTTTGTCGTTCACTTTACTGATGGTGTTTTATATTTATTCATTTATTTGTCTTCTGAAATGCAGATAACTTGTGTGTGATTTTTTTAATTTTTTTTTTTTAAGATGAGTTGTCCCTGATACACAGAGCGTTACGCAAGGACAAAAATCAATGCTGGTGAAATACAGATGTCAGTTATCTTCCATTTTCTCGACTGTGTCAGAGTTTACAGTCTCCCGACATGTTTCAACCTGTTGACATCACTTTGCTCTGATAGGCCAGTAGGACGGGTGATGTCACCTTTGTAGTGATGTATTCTTAGGTTTGGGTTCAGTTTTGAAGCCTGTGATTAATCAGCCCGTGTTCAGACTTGCTCATACCTGAGGGCCAAGTTCTGCCTCCTGAAAACAGATTGTTCAGACTGATCGCTATGTGAAGTGGCAAGAGAACATTCAGATTCAGTGTCTCAGTTTACTGATACGCACATGTATAATTATTATTTGGTCAGGTGAAGTGTAACACGATGAAAATTCTTACTTTGTTAATTACAGTTCATTAATGTTTAGGTTTCACTTTCTGAAATGTTAAGTACACCTGTTGAACACTGACAAACCTGTTCGTCTGCTTCTTGTGTCGTCCTCGAATGTAGGTAGAGTTTTAGAAGCTGGGATCCAAGTTGGGTGCCACATTTTCGAAATGCAGGTTTATACAGAACAGTAAATGCCTCCATTGCGTACAGTAACTACACACCAGCCTGGAATCCCCCTAGTCCCCTAACATGCCCCCTCTTGAATTCATATGTCATCTTCTAATTACAGAGCTGCTTAATGTATCCCCCACTCTTCTTCTCTCCTCCCAGTCAGTATTCTGCTACTCTCCTCTGCTACTCTGTCAGCACTTTTCCACTCCCTCCCTCCCCTCAGATCATCTCTCCACTCTTCTCCTCTGCTGTCAGCTTCCCTCCGCTGTGAGCTGATGATTACAGTAACAAGCAGCATCTTTAGCCTACAAATTACCACTGTGATTCAGACACCGGTGCTGCAGCCGTTGTGTGTTTGTGTGCTGTGAGCTTTTTTTTTCTTTTTTTCTTTTTTTTGCATCGGCCATATCTCACCTCCACTCATCCACTGCTTGTCTTTGACTCACATGACGACCCCACCATGACCCTCAGCCGAAGCTCTCATTGGTGCTTCGGTGGTCCAGCCGGGAAAGCTGCGGCACAATTATTCAGGTCTGCACTGTTGTGTGTAAATGGTGGGTGGGAGGCACAGCTCACCTGCCACTGCCGTTTATTTATGCTAAGACAGCTTACTCATCTACCTGTATTGTTCTATTGTACAACAAGCCCCTCCCCCCCTTTTCCTGCTCTGTTTGTGGTTAAAGTTACAAGTAATGTGCAACTGAAATTTGTTTTTGCAATGATGTGATCTTGCAGTGTAACACAAAGCTGCAGGGTTTCCCCCAGGAAATCATTCAGCTGAGGCGGAAGAGCCCCCCAGATCACTCATTGTTGTGGCTTTTTGGGAAATATGTGTGTTCACCTTCTAACAAACAAGATATTTCAATGTGTTGATTAATGAGCTTTAGAGGTGCTGGTAGAAAGAATTTGTCATCTTCGGACAGAGCCATGCTAACTGCTTCCCTCGCTGTTTGCAATTTTTTTTGTGCAAATTTAAACCAATCAGCTGCTGGTTCACTCACAGTTACTGTGCACACATGAAAGTGCTATTCATCTTCTCATCTTACCCCTTGGCAAAAAGATTAATGCTCCATTTGATGATGAAAAGTGTTTTTATGATGTTAGCGGAGGTGTTTTAGTCGAGGAAGCCCACCTTGGCTATAAAACACACTGATTTAAAAGTCTTTCATAATCCGAATCCATTTGCTATGCCATCAATAATTTTTGCTGCTGTTTATATCCATGTCTGTGAGTGTAATGTGAATGTTTTGAAAATGACAATGCTTTGGCAGAAGATACTTCACCTGCGTCATATTTTACATAAAGGTCATGGCAATAACTGACAGAGCTCAGCGGACTTCCACCCTGTTAGTTTTATGTAAGCCAGTGAGATGGTTTAGATAAATGCGCGAGGTCGGACATCCCGGTTTCCTCTTTCCTGTTTGGCTGTCATACCGACCGTGCCCTTAATGTCCTCTTCTCGTCTTTTGATCTCGTTTTTCTCTCCAGTATGGGGCAGAGTTCCGCCGGTTCTCTGTGGACCGGGTCAAGCCCGGCAAGTTTGAGGAGTTCTACAAACTCATTCTGCACATTCACCGCATCGCCAACATGGAGGTGATGATTGGCTACGCTGACGTCCACGGAGACCTGCTGCCAATCAACAACGACGACAACTTCTGCAAGGCGGTGTCAACAGCTCATCCACTCCTCAGGATCTTCATACAGAGACAAGGTAGGTTTTCTGAAAGGTTTTTAAGACAACATGGCGTCCCTTTCTCTTTTTCTTGTATTTATTACACAGCAGGAATCAAGCTTACTGAGTCTTTTTCTCCACCATCAGAATCTTAAAGATTGTTGGTTTAAATAAACATCGGATGGATAATTGTTTTGAAATATCCTGCAACTGGTAAATCTATAAAACAATCGTCTATTGCATTAACTGCGTCTTGGGCTGCAATTATTGTGCAGGCTCGAATATTTCCTTATCCAATTATGTCCGTCTTCCCGTTATGGGAACTCGAGGCCTTTTTGTTTACTTCATGCGAGGCTTTCTGTGTGTGTGTCTCTCTATGTGTTTCCTGCCCTCTTATTGGATGAATCAGTCTCAGTCTGTGTCTGTCTGCCTGGCTAAGTCCTGTGTCTTATCCAGAGGAAGGGCTCGCAGGCAGATGATCACGCGCACACATACACGCACACACGCGCGCGCGCACACATGCACACAAGCCGGTGCCTCGGCAGCCCCATAGAAATCAGGTCATTGAGCAAACCCTGTATCCCGACATACCAGACATTACAGAGAGACAAAAGATCTGTATGAAAAGAGAGACTCCTTACTGAGCTCCCTCCGTTTGCGTGTTTGTGTGTGCGTGCATGCATGTGAGTGTGTATTTGTTCAGAGACAACACCATGGCACACTGAATGGTAACCAAGTCCTAGCCTCCCTCTCCCTCATTGATCCCAACTCTGGAGTGGCTCTTGATTGCCAGCCAGCCAGCCAGCCAGCCAGCCAGCCAGCCAGCCAGCCAGCCAGCATACAAATGAATCTGTCACCATTCACATCTATTCATACCCTCAATCCTTCATGGAATGCCCCTCGCTCGGTTGTGTAATGAACACGTACACTCCAGGGTATTGTTTAAATTGTCGTGCAGTGGTTCAGATACAAAAGCTAGCCACGCTGCGGTGAATTATCTTGTCGCAGATTTCTAGTAAGAAATAAAGTTTGAATATTCAAGAGGCCCCACCAGACCTCTCTATTGTGCGACCTGCTGTCTTGAGCGTTCCTGCGGCTGGAGCTGAATTAACTCATTGTCTTTTGCTGATAAGACATTTGCCAAAGATGTTTCATATAGAAATGAAAGTTTTGAATGTTGATGAACTTTGAGTGAGATCAGTCAACAAAACAATTCTTATGATGGCGTACCTCTGCGTTCCTACAACTACAAATTATTGTTAATTCATGTTATGCACTGTCATATTTAATTTCTAAGACTTGTAGTTGATGTTTCAGTGGCTCAAACATCCCAGCGCTTGGCATTTGTAGCAAGATGTCACCCATCTCATCTCTCTTAACATCCAGACAGGACATCTCTAATGAGATGAGGTGTATACCAAGCATTTGTTTCTCATGACCTTTGTCACGTTCTCTCCGTATCCAATTCTCACTTTCTGCCACGCTCCAGAATACCTTACACAGGAGAAATCCCATAAAACACTAGAGGGATTGAGCGATTCTTGTTGAAGGACAGATTTGGTTGCACTTAAGAAGGGGCTTATTTAGTGCTGTTGTGGTGTAAACACAACGCTGACATGGTGATGTGGTTTAGGGGAATGTGCACTGTTGTGACTGATGCTGCAGCCATATGAGCATCTTAAGGCCTCACTGCAGTCTATTGTTCGCTGCCAGACAAAGAGGTGTGTGTGTGTGTGTGTGTGGGGCAGCGTGAGTACCTCATGTCTCAGAAGAGCTCTCCGTGCACCCAGTGTGGTGCATGCACGAGAAAGTGTCTGTCTGTGTGGTAATGACTGTATCAGTCAGTACCAGCCTGTTAGCACAGGTCATCAGCGAGCGAGCTCTTGTTGCCACCGCGTCAGACCCTCAGCAGACCACCCCAGATGAAAGAAAAGACTTCACATACACACATATATAAAGACACTGTGACTCACCCCTCAGTCATAGCAGGGACGTTCTGTGTAGCTTAAACTGAACTGGCCTTTCATATGTATATGAGAGTAAAAAGAAAAAAAAACACATTTAATTGGACTGCTCCCCTGACAGCTCAGCCAACAAAGTTTTCATTTCTCTCTTTCTTCATTTTAAAGACAAGAAAATTAAAAGATCTCAATGCAACAAAGAAGTTGTTACAATGTGTGAAACATGCCTTTGTTTCAGTTTGGGCTGCCACATAGAACAAAATGTTCAAAACTCCCATGGATACATGGAAACATTGTACAATAAGTGTTTTTAAAGGCTCTCATCAGAGTTAAAGATGAAACACAAAGTGAGACAGGAGGAAACATGGAAGAAATTAAAGGAGGGGAGGGGTCTCTGAGGCTGAGTAAGAGTGGAAAGTACAGTGGTGCATCAAAGGTGTGCACACAGCCCCTCCCCCCAGACAAGTTTCTGTGACTGACCTCGTGTGTCTTTGTGTGTGAGTACTTTCACCGTGTGTGTGTGTGCGTGCGTGTGCGTGTGTGTGTGTGTGTCTTTTATCTACCTGACACCCCCCCTTCCGGGCTTAGATTGCCATTGTTGGCAAGATCACTTGAGCACGTGCAGCAGTTGTGTGGCGATACAATGATAATTCTGCTGATGATACCGGATGTTTCTCCCTGTGGGCAAAAATGGCAGCTTGTGTAATGATGACCTACGCCTACAGAATAGATGTTGACACTTTGTGGGTAATTCCCAGCAATAGCCTCTCAGCGTAGGTGATTACACAGGACTCATCTTCAGTCAGAGCAAGGGGAAGTTGAGGCATAACACCTGTGTTGTTTTTATGCCTCTGCGCCGGCAACAGCCAGGACCAGAGGTATTATGTTTTTAGGTTGTCCTTCGGCACCATTCTCATGAACACAATATCTCAGTAATGCCTTCAGGGAATTTCTTCAAATTTGGCACAAGCATTCACTTGGACTCAAGAATGAACTGATTAGATTTTGGTGATCAACGGTCAAGGTCACTGTGACCTCACAAAACAAGGTGTTGCCTTAACCGACAAATTCATATCCTATTTATGACACAATTTAACACAAATGTCTAATAGGACAAAATGATGAGGTGATGACATTTTATATCCAAATGGTCAAAGGACAACTTCACTGTGACATCATAATGCTCTGCAAAAACACTTGTGGCCATTATTCAATGCTGTAACTCAGGAAGGGGAGATTGTGACAATATTTCCTGCACCTTGGCGGAGAGACGTACGACCGTGAAGCGGCAATTCTAGTTGTATTTTGAATCAGGAAATCTACTGACATTTAAAACATATAAGTGCAGAGTTGGTCCAAAACAGACACAGGCATTGTTGCAGTTTCAATGCCTCTCTCCCCTTTTGTGTCTGTACACAGTCAGTCATATTTGGCGATGTTAGGGTTAATTTTCCTACTTGACAAGAAGCTGGCTGCTATTATTAAACTCTGAAAATGAATCCACAGACCTGAAAGTTGCCAGATCCAGATAATTAATTAGCGTACACATGAAGCACTACTTTGACACAGTGAAATAATTATAAAAAACCCAGAGAAAAACAAAGAGAGACATCCTTTAAATGTTTATAATTTTGCAGCTACATAGCAGGTATTACTGTCAGCAATGCAGAACCGATAGGTGCAACATGTTTCACTTTAAATAAATTTCACTTCATTTGAATGAAAATTGATGAATTGTGTGTTGAAGAACAGAAAAAGCCTTTTTATCTGGTTGTGCCCGCAGTACAACGGAGCCTTTCTGTCTTCATTCATTTACATAATAACTTGAGCCACTGGCAATCTGTTCGTAACATAATGATTAACACAAAGAAATTAGATTGAGAGAAAACATACCTTGGGCCACTGAGCCGTGCTGGAATGTTTGAACACGAACAAAGTGTGTAAATAATGATGTTGGTTATTGAGTGACAACAACGGAGGATGGCGCGTGCAGCATACATGTTCATGTGGACTCTGCATGTCGGTGCATGTCTGTGCTTTTCATTTTAAAAGTTTAAGGTGGCATGAAAACTGTGTCGAAGCCAGAAGTTCTTCCACCTGTTTCCCACCCCTCCACCCACGCACTTTGGAACAACACTCCAAATCATCATCATTGCTCCTGAAAGCTCTACTGTATTATGTCAAAACCTGTGGTGGTGAAACATATCAGTTTGTAGAAGAAGAGGGGGGGGGGCGGTTTCCTACTGGGACACTTGAACATTTCTCATGCTCAACACAATCAGGCGGGGGAGGGGTGAGCAAGTGATGGGAAGAAATGGGACGCATCAAAAGATTTGTGGCGAAAGAGGAGTGACTGAACCGGCTCTGTATGTGGAGGTGGACTCGTCGTCTGGTCACATGTGTGGGTGTGTGATTGTAGTAGTTTAGTCATGTGTGGACAGCTGATGATAGATGTTAGATTGGGGTCACACGGACGTTTCAGCTCTTGAGAATGCCGTATGACTTTGTGTATGTTCCTGCAGAGAAAAGAATCTGATCTTGGATCAAGCTATTCATTTCCTACTTCCGGCTAAATTAGTTTCAAAAGTTGCAGTCTGCGATCCGTCTTGCTGTGCTCAGAGGCATGTTGAATATACTTATCTAGGTAGTCTGACATCGTGTCAAGGGTTCATTGTATGTTTATCTAGGGAAACTACTGTGAGTACTAACTGTTCACTCATATTATGGCTCTTGTGCAGAATGATGCAAATTAGGGTGTAGATAAGCATTAGAGGGAACACTGCCTACATATTCGTTTTTAGGCAAAGATAACTTGGACAGGAAAGAGGCCACTTGGCTCATGGATTTCCACATTTCTCCTTATGAAAGAAAAAAAAATGTAAAAGATCCCTGTAAGTAGTAAAAACAGTGGACAGAATATATCTAATCTACTCCCACGAATCAGTTGTTGGAGTAAGAGGGCCTGTGAATGAAGGCTTTCAATGTGCTAAAAGGGTTTTAAAGTTGGCAAACTTTGACACAATCTACTACCTTCCCACACTACAGCAGTGACTGTAGTAATGTTAGTAATGTTAATGA